ATTTATATTTCGTAACATGTGATAGATATCTAAACAAAACTAAAAAAGAATTGTGTAATTAAAATTGTGTTAAAAAAGTATTTATAAAATATAAATAAACGAATCAACCAATTAAGAGAGAGAATGAAAAATCGTTTAACAAAATAATGATTCATCCAATAAAACAAAATACAAAGAATCATGTATTAAAAAAAGAGTTTTTGAAATCAATTTAAATTAAAAGTATTTTAATAATTTAAAGTAAAGACAAAGACCCGACGATCCTGTTCAAGGATGATGTTGTAGTAGGTTTAAGAGAGATGTGGTGGTGAATAGGAGACTCTTGTGTGCGCAAGAATCGTGGAATTCCCTCCACCGGTTTGTTCACATTAACTAACCAAGTATATTCTCTCATAAGTATAATACCACAAAATCGTAATGGAAACTTAGGAAACGAATAATATTAACATTGCGGAGGGACCCATGATAAGAGATGTTAACAAAGAATTATTATCTCACACCTATAAATAAGTAAGTGCTGTAATAAACTAACATTAAATATTCCGATTAAAGATTCCTAAACTATTTCGCATTTTGTTTGGGATATAGGATAGAGATTTTCATAAAATACACTCTCACACTTTACTCTGAATTTGTTTAGGTAAACTTCCGTACTTCAGTTTCAAATCTTCATTTGTTTACGTTTTAAACTATTGGAAATATTTATTAAAGACAATCCGATGTTTAAATTAATAATTGATTTGATCGGTCAGAACAAAATTTCAAATTCACATTAAATAAATTCACTTACTTTCTTATCTTTGATTTTTATTTATATGTTTTGAGATGAATTCAAAATTAGTGAATCCTTAATTACAATCCGTCCAAGACCTTCTAAACAATGTTTACTCATAATTTTAATTTAACATGATATTTATAAATAACTGGTGCTAAAGTATGTAAGCTCGGTTTTCTCTCCTTCTTAGTCTTTCTATTGATGAGTTATTTATTTTTGATTCGTAATTGATAGATTGTTTGGTCGATCGAACTCCTCTCATGATCTCGTCTGATTGGTTATCACCTAGTCGTCTGATCATATAATACATATATTATTTAAATTCATGATTAAAAATATTATTTGTTTTAGAGATTAAAATTTAATTGTAATTTTGTTTATTAAAAAAATATTACGTAAAGAAATGAATTAATATGCGATGGGTTGGCTTAAGTGAGCGCGGCGAGATGTGGTTGGAAGCATGCGCAGAGCGCAGAGTGCAGAGTGCAGAGAAAGATGAGAAGTGAGAAGTGGCAATAAGAAGAAAATAAAGAAGTTGGTGTGTGATGTCATGGTTGGGTTGGAACAAGAGAAATTTGGCAAGCGGCGGAGAAAGCTGCCCCGACCCAACCTTCAAGGACCACTAACACTCACTTCTTCACTCTCCCACTCTCTTCTCTTGCGCGTCCCCTTTCCATTCTTTTTTTCTCATTTACCCCAAAAATTTGTAACATCGATTTGATGCAAAACAACGTTGTCCTTTTGATTGAAAATGACCAAATGCAAAATTAGAAATGCCCAGAAACGATCGCTTACTAAGAACCCAACGTCAAACTATTGAATGGACAGCCACTGTCCCTTCATCTATGATTCTTGTAATAATTAAGACATCGTTTTAATCTTGCTTTACGTGATTATTTGTTCGAATTGCCTCGAATGGGATGAAGGGAAATAGTGTTAGTGATAATGTTCACTGAACTTTTGATGCAATTAAGAAAAAAAAGGGTTTTTAAATCTGAATAACGATGACGATGATTGACTAATAATTGTACTTAGGTAGCATTAATTGAGATTTATGGAGAGTACTGGCTGCGAAAGTAGACGCGCGTGGAGGGGCATGTTTGGATGAAGAATAATAAAGATAAAGGATGATGCGGTCCCTCCCATGCAAAATGGAGAGAGAGGAATGGGTGGAGTACTTTAATTCACCCATTAATATAAGATTTAGATGGGCAAAGATAGGATCACCAAACAATGCACCTCCCAACATTACTGCCTTTATTACATATGCTTATAAATTCCGTTTTTGGTTAATCAATTTACTTTTTATTTATTAAATAAGTATGTTTTTAATACGAATAACTGGCTATGGATGCTGTATTGTTTAAATTTACACTCGAATAATGTATTTCCTATTCTCTTATCATTACAACTTCGATTTTCTAATTAAGCTCACAATTTCATTTGTAATTTTTTATGTTTTCAACATTAAAGTTGTGTGTTTTGCTTTCAATTAACAAAAAATATTGATTTTTTATATTTAATTTAACATTCACGTGTCTTTTAATTTGTTAAGTAAAGGTACAATAAGAGATTATATTTAAATTGATTAAAGAGAATACTATGAAATATTTAACAATAATAAATAAATTTGAACATGGATATTTTCTTATAAGTATAAAATTGAATGGATTTTTCTATATGGACTTTGCCCTCGTGGTATAGATAATCTTTTTTTATCAGATATTATAAATACTTTTTGAAAAACAGAAGAAGCTTTTTTAAAAAAATATATATATAAAATTGAAATGACATTAAAGTCCTTGTGAAAAAAACAAACTTACATATCTCTTCATCTGTTTCTTTCGTCGTTTGATTCCTTTCATCTTTTCCAACATCAACTGTGAAAAGCCTCCATCTATTCAGATTTTAATAATAAAATAGATATAGATTCAAGTATAAAAATATATATATCGTAATGTATATACACTTAAACAATAATTCAAGTAAAATAAATATTAAAGGAATAAAGTAATATGACTTGCTTGTGATTTTGTTAAACAATAAATGTGTAAAGTGTGTAGGTGAAATACGAAAGAGAAATTAGAGTTGAAACTTATTAAATCACCTCTCCTGCAATAAATAAAGTATTAATTCATCTAGGTTGAATGTATAGCATTGATCACTCAATGATTTAAATATTAATTATTAAGTAAATGAGAATAAATTACTTTATTATAAATACTACTCTTTGCGAGGTCTAAATAAACTTTGTAAATTAAAGATTTAAAGAATTTGTGATAAAGACATTTAGAAAATGTCAAGTTTCACTTTCAAAGTTTTAATATATTTTTTTCGCACTGTAGTTCAGTCTGTATAATATACAATAAATAATAGTTTGATCTGAAGTTATAATTTTTATTTAAAAGTTAAAATAAAATATCACTTAAGCGAGATATATTTATTTTACGTAGTGTTTCGTCTTTTTGGTTAAGTGAGGGAGTTCTAGGCCTCACTTGAGAAGTTATAAAAACTACTTAAGTAAGTTTTTATAATCGTATAATTTTTTACCATTTTCGTTCTTAATATCATCTCAGTCCTAACTCCAAATTTAGCATAAGGTTTATGTTTTTTAAACACTATTAAGTATTTTAGGAAGTGTATCAAATTTACAAGTAGTGAATTTTTAATTTCTATTATTTTTTTAATCTTACAACATTTATTATTTATAAATTATTGTAATTAAAGTTATTTTTTATTAAAAAATAATAAGAAACATGTATTTTAATAAAAATGACATTTTTTAAAAACATTTTGGCTGTATTTAGAAACGAAAGAAGTATCAGTTGTCAGATTTGTTATTTTCCTCTCTTTTTCTTCCTCACTGTAAACACCAGTGTTGACCAAACCTTTTTCCTTTAGAAAAGTACATTGTCCTCAAATCCAAGCACACCTACATTTTTTTCTATTGAATCTCACCTTGGGAATGTTTAGTTCTAACGTTTTGTATTACCATGGAATGCTGAGTTAAAATTATGAGCACTTGATATATAATAAACTCTATTTCGGTTTTAAGAATAAATTAAAAATAATAATAATAAATAAAATATTTGATAGTTGATGTGTATGAATTATACAGTTATAGATAGTACAAGAGAGCAGGTTCACCCTATTTATCTGTGTAGACATATAACAGAAGGGAATAACTGAGGTAGCTTTTGTTTAGGAAGACAACAACATTAGGATGCAGTATGAGGACCCACCAAACTCATCCAACACAACCCTACCCTTCTCACTCAAACCCATCTGAAAAAGCCTGTTTTTCACATTACTTACCAATCACTTCGATCTAGGGATTCGTTCCCTACAAAGATTTCCCTATTCCTTTCCCATTTTCTTTTAAATCATAAATTTCGATTTCAAATTAATAACACATTTAACATTCATTTCCAATTTTGGTTAATCATTCACAATTTTTTCTAAATTAAATCAAAAAACAAGTTAAGATAAAAAAAAGTTATTTGGAAAACTATTTTTCTCTTTTATATATATTTTTAAAATAATTGCTTTCCACAATTACACGGAACTCACAATAACAGTGCAAGGAAATAATTAATTATTATTATTTTACCTTTTTAACAAGTTTTATTCAATGGAAAAAAAAGGTAAAAGGACAAATTAAAAAAAAATGATTTTCAGTAAAAGTAGGGCTTTTGTAAAAGAAACATGTCTATTATATATTGTTGTGAAAGATCAAGGTGTTAGCAAATGAAAGAACAACTCATGCGGCGGCTTGTACACAGTTAGTTTCATATATGAGGCAAAGGACGATCTTACTTTATTATGTTGTTGCAGCTGGTCCATGTTATGTGTACTTTGAGGTTAATTTCGTTTTTATTATAAACTAAATTTTCTAAAATTTTACCTATACACATTTTAATTATTATTATGTAAAATGATACAATTAAAATATATTAGTCATTAATCCATAAATAACGATGAAATAAAAACCTTTCATAGTCACTAAAACTAATTCATTAATATTTATGCAAGTTTAAAATATATATTGTATGACTAATTTTTATTCAATTTGAGATGAATTTTTAATATGATTAATTTGAGTGATTGTAGAATTTTTTTTTTAATAATTAGAAAGAAATAATTGAGGAAATATGGTTGATATTTTTTGCATTTAAATGAAGACTGTTTGGGCTGTATACCTGTATTAATATATCTTTCTGCATTGACCCACTACTCTTCATAGGCAGAGAGAGAGAGAGGGAGAGAGAGAGAGAGAGAGAGAGGAAGCACTGGAGCAGCAGGCATATCAATGATGATCATAGCATGGAGGTCATCATCACCCCTATCTGATCTTCTATTTCTGAGGAAGTATATCTCATCTTTCTTCCTAGGTTGGTTTTCATGGTACTCTCATGTTGCCTTGTTAGAGCACAACACTGAGGAGAAACAGCTTCCACTTCCTCTCTAATTTACCATCTTCATCAATTTGCATCCACAGCTTCACCATCAACATCACCACCACCTTCACCACCACTCTCATCCGACAACCACCTACCCTAATCTCACGTATTCCACTTTTCTTCCATTACGGTAAGATCTTCCACCTTTTCAATTATTTCACTTTCAAAGAACCAAAATATATATACTCATAAGTCAGATACACATACCCACATAAAATTTCATTTTTTTTTCTTCCTTTCTTCAGTTTCTAACTATCCGAGGGGTTCTATTTCTTAGTTTTATTGTAGGATAATCAACCTTGATGAAAGCCCATCCCTCATAAACGGAAGGTGTTGCTGGGACATAGATTATCAAGAAGTGGAAGCAATATTTGAGTTTAATTTCATGATGGCTCGACAATTGTGTGAAGACAAATCCAAGGACATGGCTTCATCGACTGGTCTGTTCTACCCTGATGTGTCATCAAACAGCCCAACTCTCCAACCCCATCTGATGAACCACATCCAAGGCTTTGTGACCGACCCAGAGATGTTCAACCTCACCACTGGCATGGAGATGATAGGGTTTTCCAAGAATCTTCATCCACACAGTGAAAGCAACGGGGTCATGTGGAAAAGTTTCTTCGGGAAACCAAGTCAACACGCGGGTCCTTCCTCTTCCAAAACTATGAACGAGTCTTCTTGCAATTTTTATAACCAGCACGAGTATAGCAATAAGCAAGACTTCACATCAGGGATTTCAGAAACAAGTAGCGAAAATTTGATAGTCGGTGGTGCCCATGATTCTGCCCCGTGGCAAGAGAACAGGCTAATGCTTGATGATTCTTCCTTAAGGTGCGTGTTCCCCTGTGAAGGTAACGAAAGGCCCAGTCAAGGTCTTTCACTCTCTCTCAGTTCAACCAACCCTTCGAGTATTGGGTTGCAATCTTTCGAGCTAAGACAAACAAACCATCATCAGCATCTTTCTGATTTTGTTTCGAGAGACGGGTATTTTGGAAAATCGGTCAATGCTCAACAACAGCAACAAGTGTTGCAAGACGGGTACATGAGTCCTAACAAAGCTGCAAATATTTATCAGGGACATTTTCTAATCAAGAACTCCAAGTTCTTGGTGCCTGCACAGCTCCTTCTGAACGAGTTTTGTAGTCTTGGAACAAAGGAAAATGACGTGCAAAAGCAGAAGCAGTCTCTAAAGAACAAGCCGTGGGAAGAGGGTAACAACGGTGGTGGTTCCTCAAAGAACCATTCTCTTGGCTCTCTAGAGTTCGTGGAGTTGCAGAAGAGAAAGACAAGGCTGCTATCGATGCTGGAAGAGGTACATATGTTTCAAATATTCTTATTTTTGTTTGGCTTCATTTAAGAGATGAGTTTGTACTTGGGAAGGAAATATCTTTCGTGTGATTGTTCCACATAACATGGAAAAAGTGAGTAAAAACCATGCATTTACTTCAGTCGAATTACCCGTCACAATCCATGTTCTTAACTTTTCGTTGGTGTGGTTGATGGGATTGGGGTCTTTCCACTTTGATTCTTGAACTAATTAAGCAGCCGGTGCGGGCCTTTTCATCAATGCCAACTCGTGACAATGGAGCCTTTTTATTTATCCTCGCAACAAAACCTCCTGATGTTTTTGCCTTTTACCTTTTCATAGCAACTTCGCTTTCATTTTGTTTCTGTTACTTTAAAGAAAATCTTGAGAAGATTCATTCAATTCCAAGGTGGCTGTAACTTTCAAAGTGAAATTTATATATTTACTTTTTCTTTCACTTGCCCACACTTTTTGTTGTCAAGGTTGATAGAAGATACAAACATTACTGTAACCAAATGAAGGCTGTGGTCTCCTCCTTTGAAGCAGTGGCGGGTAACGGAGCAGCCACAGTTTATTCGGCTTTGGCTTTGAGAGCCATGTCTCGCCATTTTAGGTGCCTGAAAGATGGAATCATGGAACAAATTCAAACCACCAGAAAAGCTATGGGAGAGAAAGACCCCGTTGCACCAGGAACAACAAGGGGCGAAACACCGAGGCTTAAAATCATTGACCAATCACTGAGACAACAAAGGGCCTTTCAACAAATTAGCATGATGGAAACCCATCCCTGGAGACCTCAACGTGGCCTTCCCGAACGATCCGTTTCAGTTCTTCGGGCTTGGCTTTTCGAGCACTTTCTTCACCCGTAATTCCTCTCTACTCTACTGTTGTCCTCTTCTTATTTTATGCAGTTCATCGCTATGCCTATATGATGAAATGAAATTGAATATAAAAAGTAAGGTACAGAATAGATTCTACCAAGGAATAAATGTTCTCTCCAAATCAATAGACGAGAACAGCCATTGGCAGTAGATGGCAGCACAGTAGCGTATGTGTATAGAATCCGAATCAATGATTCGTGCCCGATAAAAAACTATGTGAATTGAAATGAAATTTGGTAACTTGTGTGCATCACCATTGAGATTCCATGTTTTGGTAGTTTGTCACTTTATTTTGAATGATGTTATTTTTGTTTTGAACATTAAATTATAATCACAATGTTTCGAATTGCCTCTTTCTCTCAACTACTACGTAGGGCCCCGTTTCCCCCACTACAGTTATCTCTAATCATTAATCAATTAGCAACTCCTACGAGCCATCGAAGGTCATATTAGTTTTAATTAATGCTTTGGGTGAAAAACCTTTGCAGGTACCCAAGTGATGTCGATAAACACATCCTAGCCCGCCAAACCGGTCTCTCCAGAAGTCAGGCACGTGTGCATATGATTATATATCTTCACTTAATTTGCATTTGAATATTAACATTATCGTAACTAAATTAATCGTTGCTGTTGCATGCACGCAAGTTGAAAGTTGAAAATTAATAAATTAATCAATTATCTAATACGGTTTGGTGACACCGGCACGTGTGGCATTTGGGAGCAGGTTTCGAATTGGTTTATTAACGCGAGGGTGAGGCTGTGGAAGCCGATGGTGGAGGAGATGTACTTGGAAGAAGAGAAGGAGCAACAGAACGACGTCGCATCGTCGGAGGGAGGAGGCACCAATCCCGAGGGTGATCAGAACGCGGCAAGCGAGGATCAGAAGCCGACGCAGGCTCGGCTCCTCCGAATTGACTCGGAGATGTCGTCCATGGTGAGCAACACGGAGCAGAAAAACGACAGCAAGAGCGGAAAAAGCGTCCAAAATGACGAGCAAATGAATGAGAGCAACCATCCCGCGGAGGCGTTCGGGGCGGTGGAGCTTGACTTTTCGTCATACGCGCAGCAGTCCTCCGGCGTGGTCGGTTACGATGGTGACAGCGGGAACGAGAGGTTCCGGGGTGGCGGTGGGGGCGTGTCGTTGACGCTAGGGTTACAGCAGCAGGGTGAAAGCGGGGTGAGTTTAGCGTTCCCGCCAGCGACTCAAAGCTCGATGTTCTACCCACGGGACCATATAGAAGAGTGTCAAACAGTCGAGTACTCTCTTTTGGACGGCGAAGGACAAAACATGCCGTATAGGAATCTCATGGGGACACAATTGCTCCATGATTTGGTATGATATCATTAATCATATTATATACTCTTAATTCGATCATGGAGATGTCACCTAAGTATATATATGTTCTAGTTTTCGTGAAAAAATTAGTTAAAGTAGAAGGATTAGTTTTCAGTTTTAGTTAAATTAGCTTTTATATATATATAGTACACAGTTAATTATATATATATCAATTAATGCTTCCATAATATAGAATTTCAGCCACACTACACTTGTAGTTAGATAATGTAAACTTTTCAACAGGTATTGATCATGCGCATGCCTCGTCTATTTTGGAATTTGAATCTTCAACCGGTTGATTCAACGTTATATTATTATTTTTTTCTTTTTGCACTAAATATGTTTCTAAAATTAGTTTGCAGTAAATAATTTTCGAAGATGCATGATGTGTTGTGTTGATGGGGTTCCGATGGCAAAGCGTTGAAGTGGAAAATAAGTTGTTTTTTGGGATTGGAGATATTTGTAATTTAACGAGGAAAAGAAAGGAATATTGTAAAAGGACAATAAATCATTTTGGCTTTACGGTTTTGGTTGGATGCTAAGAAGAAGAGGTGGAAAAATATGAAAGATAATTTGGAGGGGTTGTGGTCCCTTGTTGATTTCATGGTGCCAATAAGAAACGGTTGCTTTATGATAGATCTGTTTTACGATTGGTTGAACGGTGCCCCTTCTTTTTCGCCATTAAAATTATATCTTTAAAACAGTGTTGGAGGCACTAGCTAGGGTTTTTTAAGATGAGATGCATCATCATCATCATCATGCATGCTCTTTAATCACTGCAACTTGTGTTAAAAGTTTCATCACCAACTAAATGCCACGAACCACACATCGATACGTATGGTATCCCTTTCTACACTCCTGCTTATTTAATTTCCTTCTTTTTTTAGGCCATGATATAATGCACATCTCTATTCTATACTAAATTTCCTCTTTTAGTCCATAATCCTCGAAGATGCACATCTTATAACTTCCAAATAAATTAACTTTTCACTTCAAGCTTTATAAAAATTCTTACGTTTATTTTGTTAAAACACTCCTCTTTTTCTAGCTTTACGTATATCACCTATCTTTCTATCATATCATATCCAATAATTTCACATCAATAATCGAAATTTAAAATAATTTAAATATTCTTTATTTCTTTTCTATAGTATGTTTTCAAAAAGTAAAATCGTGACGGTATCTAATTTATTTATGGTAAAACATTTATAAAATTTGTTATAGATTTACTTTTTAAAACTACCATTAACATTAATATCTCTTTCTTGTCTAAATACATAAGTTTCAATCTCTAGTCATCAAATTATTTTGAACACGAACGGGAACACCATTAATCGATAAGTTTTTTTAATAGCATACGAATACGTCATTGTGCTATATAACAAATTCCCATTACTATGGATTGCAGAGAGTTGCCAGTGGCAGTGGTGGAGTGTTTCACTTTTCTTGCTTTACTCTGTAATTGCAGGACAAAATGCTACTTTTCTCTCTGATTTTACTCACTTTTATGTGTTTTTCCCATGTCTATTTTCATGTTGATTTTCAATAATATTTTTTCTCACTCTATAAGAAAAAACTATTTTATTGCTTTTGATCGTAAACACTATATCCACGGATGGATTTGCTTGAGAAGAACATGAGAATGGTAAAAATGATTGACTCATAAAGACAATTAATTTAGACACGAAGCATATGCCAATGTATTTCTCACTGTTTTGCATGCAACGTAAATTTCTCGAACTCGAATCTTACTATTTCAAATCACAAATATCGAACCTCACAACCCTTGTGTCGTGTTCTCTCTTATATTGTTCGTCAAAGTTAGAAAATCTTCTCCACATTTCATCGCATCAAGACTCGGTTGTCGCATAGTTTGGGTATTTCTATAATCATTATTACTGTGAGAAATCTTCTTCGAATTGTTTTCAGGATGCAATCATATAGAATTAAAGGCAACCAAAATCAGCAGTAGTTGAGATTCGCCAAGAGATTCTTTTAAATTTAATTTAATTTCTTAAAAACGACTTATAAAATAAAGCTTTCATTGTCTTATATTATAAATTAACTTTATTTTTCTCAAGTGAAACTTTCAACAAAATTAATTAAATTCATTATTAAGATTCTATTATTAAAATAAAAAAATGTTTCTAATGGATGAGTAATCCATCGTCATTACTTATCTTTCATGACTACTAACCTCTATGACTCTAAGAATAGATTACTCAAGCGAATAGGTTGGTAGACAAGGAAAATAAAATAAACAAAGGTTAACTTTATTTGGTAGGGGCAAAAAGTGTAGAAAGAATAATGAAAAAAAAAGAGATAAAGTGAACAAATATCGTATAGTTAAAACGAAATAAAGTGTAAGGAGATAGAAATAAAAGGATATTAATATATATATATATATATATATATATATAT